TACATTGGAGGAACGTTTGGTCTGAGCTACCTTCAGCTGTCCAGCTGCTGAAGAACAACTCATGGTTGAAGGTTTAACTTACAAGGCTCCTAGCAGCAATCCCCAAACCCAGGACCTTCTACAGTTTTTCTGAACATGCTTAGGTACATTAGTTCTCGTCGGGTCTGTCTGAGTCACCTAAAAGCTTGAAACACTTCCTTTGCAGAACCAGAACCAAATTGACAGATAGAAAGGTGTTTTCAAATAGTAAATGGCCTGAAATCATGTAGACTTTACCAAAGCACTTTACACTACTTTCAATCATTCATGCACAGGTTGAACCATTAACCCTTCTGCTGCAGGACAAACTCCTGCATCCGACACATCACGGTACCCCAAATTATTTTTATAAAAAAAAAAAAAAGGACAGAAATCTGTCCAGACCAGCCTGGCTGTCCTTGTAAGTTTAAACTTCATGAAAGAACTGATTAAACTAGATTTTCTAGAAAGCTGAGCTGAAGCCAAACCTGTTCTGCTTAGTAACAGCCCATCTGGAAACGTTCTCCTGCACACATTTATTTCTGTTCCAGTCCAAATGCTATTAAATCAGTCTCTCTCCTCTAAACTCAATATTCATTATGATAAGATACAAAAAGTTTTTTTTTTAACTTTATTGAGTTTTATTTTTAAGTCAGATTTCTGTCTGTTATCAGTGCTCACACCCTAAATAGTTTTGTGATCCCCCGTTGGCAGCAGGTTCAGTCTCCAGTCCTTCTGAATCTGATGTCTTCAGCTTAGTTTAGAGCTTTTTCTCTGCTGAACATCTCAGGCTCCATGATGCAGCATATAGACTTCTGAGTAGCCATCTTTAAATCTCACCAGATGTTGAAGCTGCTGTTTCCAGGGTAACAGCATGAAACCAGGAGGGATTGATCCAGTTAAAGTCTGATAATGATGTTGCACCTTAGTGCGGATGTCCCTGTCTCAGAATTCAATTCAGTTTATTTCTATAGCACCAACTCCCAACACATCATCTCAAGAAACTTTACCAGATCATCCAGTCAGATGGATTGGAAGTTTTCTATCTAAGGAAAAGTAGCTTAT